ATCTATCTATCTGTCTGTCTATCTATCTGTCTATCTATCTGTCTGTCTATCTATCTGTCTATCTATCTATCTATCTGTCTGTCTATCTATCTATCTATCTATCTATCTATCTGTCTGTCTATCTATCTGTCTATCTATCTGTCTATCTGTCTGTCTGTCTGTCTGTCTGTCTGTCTGTCTGTCTGTCTGTCTGTCTGTCTGTCTGTCTATCTGTCTGTCTGTCTATCATCTATCTATCTATCTATAATTAAAATGTTCTTTTATTTTGTCATTATACTGAAAAATATGTCAAAATAAATAAATAAATAAAAAACTATGCATGTACGCATCTTCATTAATACATAATGGTGATGGATCATGAATAACCCCTTGCTGCATGGGTTTGAAATATGTACATAAAATCATCAAGAGGCTTTTTTGACTCATTGTGCATAACACAAAAGTCAATAATACAATGATATTGAGAGCTTATATTAGAAAACGTGCACATTATAATATTTGTGTACACACGCATGTAATTTGAGGACAGCTCAGAAATAGCATTTTTTTTGCCATCATTCAATAGTAATACCTCATTCTCGTGCCTATTCACATTGAATTAATTAAGAATGATATTTCTGTCTTTTATGACTGTTCCACAGAAAGCGTGATCTTTAATGTAAGAGCCTGAATGCTTAAAGAGGCTAATATTTCCAAATCCATGAGAAGACACCAGTAATCGTCTGGATTAATATAACATATTCAGAATGATATATTACAAAGCAAGGATTCCAAAAATTTTTGTCAGCCAAATCTCGACAAATGAACAAAAGATTCACATTTCACAGTTCTCTGATATCTGTTATTGGTCACATGACATGTAGGTTGTCGTATCTTCTTCACAGTGTTGGGGAGTAACTAGTTACATGTAACATTTACATTACATTTAGTCATTTAGCAGATGCTTTTATCCAAAGCGACTTACAAATGAGGACAATAAAACCAGTCAAAACTAACTAAAGAGCAACAATATATAAGTGCAAATGACAAGTCTCGGTTAGCCTAACACAGTACACGTAGCAAGGTGTATATATACAGTATATATATATATATATATATTAAACACACACACATATATATACACACACACACACACAAAGAAAAACAAGTAGATCTATCTTACAAGTAGTGTTTGTTTTTAGTTTTTTTAAATAAAAAAAATAAGATAAATATAGATAAAGTAGAATTAAAATAGAATAGAAAGTGTTAGAGTTAGAGGGTCAAATAATGTAAAATTTAAAAAAATGTAACAAATTATTTAATTTTTTTTTAAATTTTCATTGGTGGTAGACATTGGCAAATCAGGAAAGTGTAACAATCATTTCTGTAAGTCACTCTGCATAAACGCATAAGCTGAAAGATGAATCTGTTCACAAGGTATTGTATTAAAAACACTTACTGATTATTTAAAGTTTTAAACACACGTCTGTAAGCACATGTGGATATCGCACAGTTCAACGTGACAGAACATGAGCAGGGTGTGTGTGTGTGTTACACAGAGGGATTGCCCACATCAGATGATTCATAAAACATGAAACAAGTTAACAGTGAAGCTGAGCTTTTCATGTTCTTATTAAATGACAGATGGGTGTGTTCACCTATATTGCTCGATCCAGACAGATACAAACATCAGACAGTAATACAGCGTCCCGCCCCATTCACTGAAAACAGGAGCAAATGTTGTCTTAATAAGCTGGATAAGAGCTAGATGAGTGTGCAGATCCATCATATCAATACTTGAGCTCTGTTAGCTCTGTCGATGGTCATGATGGGAGATCTCTGGGCTTATTTTGGGAATTAATGTGATCATGCAATCCTGCTTTAACAAGGACTGACCAGGTAGGCAGACAGCATTGTGTTTTGTGGAAAAAATAAGCATAAAGAAAACTTTCTTGGAACACGTAATAGCCTATTTCTCGTTTTCATTTAGTTTAACTTGATGTACTAAAAATGAAAAAGGAAATTAAAATGAATAAAAAACCTTATAGACATATAAAAAAAATTATAAGAATGATAAAAACACAACAAAATTACAAAAAAATGTCATTAAAATAAAAATGACCATGGCAATAATGACTAAATAAATAAATAATTCAGAATATTAATATAAACTAAAATATGATCTTAAGTTGATTAGTTTTAGAACTGTTATCCATCACTGATCTCACGCTGGGTTTATACGATGAGCTGAAATCTTTAGCTGGAGATTAAGGCAGAAGTTGAATCTTTGAAACAGGAGTTGTTCTTGTAAACACTTGCACACGGCTGTTTGTTTGACGTGTCAACAGAGAGTATAAGACACTGTTTTTGTACAAATACTGACTGCATCCACCAAACTAGTTCCTAAACACACGATTTACACAACAGTGCGTTATGATACTCCAGCAGGACAGGTCAAGAAAGTGTCTCTCTTTACAAAAGCAAAATATGTCATTATTATAAAACAGTTACTTAGATCACAGCACATCTTAAAAACAAGTCTGAGCAGTCAGTCGGCAGGTCATTAGTGTTAATTAAATGCACCGCAGACGGCCTTCTTTCCCACACACAGTGTCTGAGTAGTCTATTTTCAATCAAATTTCAATGGTCTTTTTCATGAAAACGCTAGTTCATGTTTTCGCATTGGACTCAAACTTACTTCGCATACACAGGATAGCCTATTTCAATTAGGTGCTTCACGATGCCATAGAAGAACCTTTTTGTCTAAATGGTTCCATAAAGAACCTTTAACATCTGAAGAACCTTTCTGTTTCACAAAAGCTTCTTTGTGGCGAAAGAAGGTTCTTCAGATTATAAAAAGATAAGAAAGAGATGGTTCTTTAAAGAACCTTTGACTGAATGCTTCTTTGTGGAACCAAAAATGATTCTTCTGTGGCATCGTTTTTAAGCACCTTTATTTTTAAGAGTGTACTGATCGTAGGTCTCATTGATCTGAGCTTTCGCACTTCAGGTTATGAGTGAATATTGTCAAAATTATGCAGAAATTATGCTTTTTCACTCAACTGATCCCAAAAGTATCGTTAGGTAACTATGGTCGTTAGTTCCATTGAACTCTATTGGTAACGATGGACCCTGCGACCATATGCTTTTGGGAAACGCACCTCAGATCAATACGATCAATCTACTAAATAAAATACAAAACCTGTGCTTATTGAAAGAAAACAAGCTGACAAAAAGACTGAATCCCAGATGTGGTGACAATGTCAAGTCAAGTCAAGTCACCTTTATTTATATAGCGCTTTTAACAATACAGATTGTGTCAAAGCAACTGGACAGCATTAATTAGGAAAATAGTGTGTCAATAATGCAAAATGACAATAGTAAACACTCATTTTTCAGTTAAAGACAGTTCATCATTGAATTCAGTGATGTCATCATCCAGCTCAGTTCAGTTTA